GGCTTCCCAGCTCCCGGGGGTCCCTGGGTCCCAGATTGGAATCCGGACCCCGCCACCCCTGCTGGGGTCCCGGGACTGGTTCCCCCGCAAAAAATCAAAATCAAAATCCCTGTGTGCCTCAGTTTCCCGTCTTGGAAATGGGCCCGAAGACTCCGCGGCGTGTCGTGCCTGGGAGCCCGCGGGGTGGACGGGCCAACTCGGCCGGGACCCAGATCTCGGGGCTCGGGAAGGGGAAGGGGAAGGAGGCGATCACGGCGCATCTGTCGCCACCCCGCCCGCTTAGCGCCAAAATTTGAAAATTGCCAACGCCTCCCAAACTGTGCACAGGAGCGGGAGCTTGGGCCCCACCCACGGGAAGCGCGGGGCTTTCTGGGACTTGGAGTCCAGCTCCCGGGTGGGGGGTGGGGGTCTCGCCAAGTGGGGCGCTGAGAGATCGGGACCGGGAGTAAGGGCCAGACTCCATGGGACAGAGGGGCAGACAGGCCAGGCCAGCCCGCGCAGCCAGCGTGGGCATGGCAAGTGCCAGGCGGGGCCAGCGCCATGGGCAGCGGTGGGACCCGGTGAGTGGGCATCAGGTCCTTAGGTGGCCCCGGGACTTCAATGGGGAGTGGTTTGCAGCTCAGTCTGAGGTTGCGGGGGGAGGATAGGAAAGGTGACTCCATGCCACCCCAAACCTCAATCATATTCTCTCCTTGACCCTGCCTCCTGTAGTGTCACTTATTCATATTTTTATTTAAATCCCACCTGTTATCAATACTTTATATTTCTACCAGTAGGAGAAAAAAACAGTGGCTCCACAGACACAAGGTAACTTTTCAGAAAGCAGCACAGTCACAGTCTAGCCAGGGATTCACTCGTGCCTGTCTGGGTTCTAAGGCTGGGCCCTCTTTCAGGTGTTCAAGACAGGTGCGTACTCTTCCCTGGTGGGTTGGCCGGGTCCCTGAGGAAGGCTGGACCAATGCCCCAGGTGCATGTGTGGGAAGGAGGGGTTCTGGCAGAAGGAACACCTGGCAAGTTCCAGAGCAACAGAAGGGAAGTACTTTTTAAAATATATATATTTTTTATTGATTTCAGAGAGGAAAGGAGAGGGAGAGAGATAGAAATATCAATGATGAGAGAGACTCATCGATCGGCTGCCTCCTGCACACCCCACACTGGGGATCGAGCCCGCAACCCGGGCATGTGCCCTGACTGGGAATCAAACCGTGACCTCCTGGTTCATAGGTCGATGCTCAACCACTGAGCCATGCCGGCTGGGCAGGAAGTACTTCTTCAGTGAGGGGCAATTTGCCCCCTAGGTGACATGGGGCAATATCGGGAGACGTATTTGGTTGCCCCGACTGGAGGTGGTGGTGCTGCTAGTGACATCAGGTAGTGGGGGGGAGAGAGCAAAGATGTTGCTCCCCATCCTCGAAGGAACAGAATGGCCCTCCACCACAGCGAGGGAGGGGGCCCAAATACCACAGTGCCCAGACCCTACTTTATCAATTTGCCTCTTCTGGACTGTTTATATAAGTGGAATCATGTAGTATTCCGCCTTTGTGTCTAGTTTCTTTCACTGAACATGTTTTTTCTTTTTTTTCTTTTTTAAAGATTTTTATTGATTTCAGAGAGGAAGGGAGAGGGGAAAGAGAGATAGAAGCATCAATGATGAGAGTGAACCATTGATGGCTGCCCCCTGCATGCCCCCCACCGGGGGCCGAGCCCGCAATCCTGAGCATGTGCCCTTGACCGGAATCGAACCCAGGACCCCTCAGTCCACAGGCTGACGCTCCATCCACTGAGCCAAACCAGGTAGGGCTGAACATGTTTTTTCTTAATTAAATATAATAACAGTTTCAGGTGTACAACCGAATGATTCAATATTTGTATATATTGGGAAATGATCACCACCGTAAGTCTAGTTAACAACCATACATAGTTGCCATGTTTTTCTTGTGATGAGAACTTTAAAGATCTCTCTTAGCAACTTTCAAATACCGAGTATTGTTAGCTATAGCCATGCTGTACATCACATCCCCAATTACTTATTTATCTTAAAACTGGAAGTTTGTGCCTTTAGACCCCCGTCATTCATTTCGTGCCTGCCCCCATCTGTTTTCTGTATCTATGAGCTTGGAGTGAGATCACTGAGCATGTTTTTAAGGGTTTTTCACCATTTTTACTTTTGATAAGACTTCAAAGAGATTGGTAGGTGATACGAGTGGGGAAACTGAGGCACTGTAAAGAAACCCAGTATCACACCTCCGTGGTGGAGCTGCGATTTTTTAAAAAAATACTTTTTTTATTACTTTCATAGAGGAAGGAAGAGGGAGAGAGAGAAACATCAATGATGAGAGAGAATCATTGATTGACTGCCTCTTGCACGCCCCCCACGGGGGTTCCAGCCTGCAACCCACGAATGTGCCCTTGACCGGAATCGAACCCGGGACTTCTTAGTTTGCAGGCTGATGCTCTATCCACTGAGCCAAACCGGCTAGGACAAGGATCTGCGATTTTGAACGGTTTGGCTCTGGACCCGAGGCCTTCTGCTAGCTGTTTAATGAACAGCTAGTAAAACAGCAAGAGGCTGAGCGGGAGTCCCCCTCCCAGCCCTGGCCGGGACTTCAGCTCCCGGCATGCCCCGCAAGGCACTCGGCCGGACTACAAATTCCAGGCTGCCTAGCGCGGGC